GAGCTCATTGTCTTATTATAGCTTTGTAAAATGTTTTGATATCTGGTCAGACAAGTTTTCACATTTTATTCTTCATAACCCTTTCATTTACTCTTAGTCTTTTATCTTTCGTGTAATTTGTAGGATCCACTCTTTAACTTCAGGAAAATTCCATGATAATCTCACTCATTAGCATAGCATCTCTTCCTCTATTCAGACCCTGCTTTATGTATCCTTAAGTAATACTTTATACTCTTATTCATTTACGTCTTACAAATATTTTGTTCAGTTTATTCCAAAGTAATTTATAGTTTTGATTTTAATAATTTATAGGTTTTAATAATATGAGTATAATTTTAGATTTTGAAGGTATATAATCAATATTATCTTTTTTTTTCCAAAAATTCTTATATCTCGGGGCACCTGGGTGGCTCAGTCAGTTAAGCATCTACCTTCAGCTCAGGTCATAACCCCAGGGTCCTGGGATCAGGCCCCACATTGGGCTCCAGACCCACATCAGGCTCCAGACCCACATCGGGCTCCCTGCTCTGCAGGGGGCCTGCTTCTCCCTCTCCCTCTCCCACTCCCCTGCTCGTGTACTCTCTCTCTGTCAAATAAATAAAATCTTTTTTAAAAATTTTTATATCTTGGGGCACCTGGGTGGCTCAGTCGTTAAGTGTCTGCCTTCAGCTCAGGTCATGATCCCAGGGTCCTGAGATCGAGTCCCACATTGGGCTCCCTGCTCCACGGGAAGCCCGCTTCTCCCTTTCCCACGCCCCCGCCACATTCCCTCTCTCGCTGTCTCTCTCTCTCTTTATCAAAATAAAAATCTTTAAAAAAATTCTTATATCTCTTTTTTTTCTTGTATTTCATTATCTTGGGCCCCCAGGACATTTTTGAATAGAAGCAATAATAGTAAACATTCTTGTTTTCCCTTACTTTAATAAAAATGCTTCTGAAGGCTCACTATTAAATCTAATTATGTTTTCATAGGTTTTTTTCAGGTTAAAGAGGTTCCCTTCTATTCCTACTTTTCTAAGATTTTTTTCCTCCCATAAATTAATGTTGACATATCCACTGGGATGGTTATATGATTTTACTCTATAAATCTATTAATATACATTTCATGAACTGCATTTTTGGTAGGAAACTATTCTTGCATCCCTAGAATAAATTCTACTTGATTATGATGTATGTTACTGTGTACGTTGCTGAATTTGATTTTGCTAGTATAAAATAACTTAGGTGGCTTCTTCTCTTCCTCTATATAAGGATTACTTGACATTGAAATTTTAATAAAACTCAGCTACAAAACTCTTGGCATGCTATTTTTGAGAAAATTTGAGAAAATGGAAATTTCTGAATATTGATTCAATAGTGTTTTTAATTGTTGACATAAGTTATTATAGTATTGACTCCAGTTTTATAAATCTCCACTGTATTGGTACTTATGTTTCCCTTTTCATCCATAATATTGTTTCTCCTTTTTTTTTTTTCCTTGATCAGTCTTGCTTGGTTTATCTATTTTACACACTCCTTCCAATAACAAGTTTTTGGTTTTGTTAATTATCTCTGACTGTACTTTTTTGGCTTCTATTTTGGTGACTTTTTCCTCTTACTTTGATTAGTTCATTTTTCCTGCTTCCTTTGAACTCATTTTGTTGTTTGAGTTGAATGCCTTGCTCTTTAATGTTCAACCTTCATTTTTCTCTACGATGACATTTAAGGCATAAATCTAACCCTAAGAACCACTTAAGCTGCATCTCTCATTTTAAAAATTATTATCATTCCATTTTGAGTATTCTTCTTTTCATCATTATTTCTTCTTTGACCTAAGAATCATTCCAAAGTAATTATTTTTGGAAACCATATCTTGGGTCACATTGTTATTGTTTATTGCTGTGGCAGATACTATTAGGCACCAACCCCCACATCCGTTCTCCTCTCATCCTCTGTGATGGAGCCCTAGTTTGAGCACACAATGTGTCCAGTTAGTGGACATTTCCCCACCTCTCTTGCAGCAAGGTCTGACCATGAGACTAAGTTCTAACTAACAAGATATCAAGTACTAAGCATCTCAAGCTTAGCATTCTCCAAATGCAACCACTGATGGTCTCCACCAAAAATCTATTCTCAAGATTCCCACGACCCCCACCACCATCCATCCCAGTTTTTTAGGCCAAAAGTCCAAAAGTTTTCTTTGATTTTTCTTCACACCCCATATTTAATTCATTATGATGTCCTAAATCAACTCCATCTCCAAAATATTTCTGAAGTCTGACCACCTCCTCCAACTCACTCAACTGCTATGAACCTAGTCCTAGCCACCATCTTCCCTCTCTGGAATAGCCCAAGAATTTCTTAATGGGACTCCAGGTCTCTTATTTCCCAAAAATTCATCCTGCACAGAGTACCCAGTGAACCTCCTCAAGAGTAAATCAGATCATTTCATCTCCTGCTATAAAATAAACTCTCATTATAGCTTCTGCTTTGTGTGTAAAAAACAAACTCCTTTCACAGAGGCCCTCTGTGCTCTGGGCCCGGCCACTGCTCCATCCACTCCTTCACTCTCCACTCCAGTATGATCACATTCTGTCCACTCTTCAGTGTTCTAAGCCCAGTCTGTCTCAGGCTGTTCTTTCTGCTTGGAATAATTTGCCTCCAAGAACTTTCTGACAACTAGAATGTTACCCGGGTGTCTCATTCTCATAGCTCTGGCCTAGACTTAAATATCACCTCTTTGCAAAGGCTTCCCCGGCCCACCTTACTCTAGCTAAGACCACATCCTCCTGCCACCCACGTCATCTTTGACCTGATTACCCCTATTTACCTTCTTCAAAGCATTGCAGTTTTCACTACCTGCAATTACTTTTTTTTGTTGTTTATTTTCCCTTATTTACATTCCTCATTATATGACAGGCTCCTAGAAGGCAAAGAGTTTTTCTTTACCATTACTTTCAGAACAGCATTCTGACCAACATAGGTGGCCAGTAAATATAATACATAATGTATAAAATTAGAATATACACACATACAAATATGGATCATCTGATATATAATATACGGCAATATATTAGATATGATGTCTGACATATGAGATATGTTATATATAATATATGATGTGCAAGACACAATATACAACATATAACATAATATGTAATAAAGTGCACAGTAGTCAATATAATATAAACAATGACAAATAATATAGAAGTCTTTTAAAGATACACATCTTAAAAAATTTTAGTCCTCTTCTATAATTCTTCCAAAGTCACACAAATGCAGAAAGAGAAGAAGAAGAAAGGGGGGAAAGAAAAACAGGGGACAAAGCAATCTGAAAGAGGATCCAGCTATGCCAACCCCCTGATCTCATGTAGGCCTGCATGTGCTTCCTGGTGTTTACTTCAGCTGCAGGAGGAAGAGAGTTGTAGGCACCCGGGCAACACCTGTCTGTAAGCTTGAGAAGTATTGTGTCTCTGTAGTATAAGCTAATTAGCTCCCTATGACCTGAGTCACTCCTTGTCAAGTGAATGGGCCTGTGGTCCCCTTCCACGAAGTTTTGCTTTCTTAGAGCCTTAAGGTACTAGTGGTGCAAAACAGGACTTCGTTGGGGTCCATTTCCTCCTCAACACCATCTATGCTGGGAATCACAGAATCCTTTAGTTGATTCTTTTTTTTTTTAAGATTTTTATTTATTTGACAGAGAGAGACACAGCAAGAGAGGGAACACAAGCGGGGGAGTGGGAGAGGGAGAAGCAGCCTTCCCGCGGAGCAGGGAGTCCCAAGCCCATGCAGGGCTTGATCCCCGGACCCTGGGACAATGACCTGAGCCCAAGGCATACGCTTAACAACTGAGCCACCCAGGTGCCCCCCCTTTTTTAAGATTTTATTTTGATTCTTAGGAGGTTCTTAAGAGGTCAATTGCTTGAAGCCCAAATGGAAAAATGATTAATAGGACAGCATATTTCAGACTCCTTATTTAGATACGTTCTGTTCTTTAGCGGTGTATAAGAACAGTTAGAAAACCAGGTCATGTTTTTCAACTGGGTCATATTTCTCCTTTTCCCACAGTTGGCCTTTTTCTTTACTCTTAGAATATGATTTTCCACATCACTTGATTTCTGCTCTTGAATTCTATTTGCAGGTACCATATGCTACTTCTCAGCAAGCAGTGATTTAGAGCAACCCTGCTCACAAATTTTGGAAAGTAGAGGCTCTGGAAGACCTAACTAGAATGACCCCCTCCCCACGTGCTTGGGATTTTCTGATTTCCTCAGTGTCAATGAGCTGTGTGGTCCTCTCCAAAGGACGTTGCCATTCCCTGTGTGGTAAATAGAAAGGAAATGAAGGCAATTAGAGCTCTTCGGATGTAAATTTAAGTGTTGGCTGAAAGGTTTTTTTTCTTTCCAGATCCTGCTTTTGTCAACACAGCTCTGGCGGAAGGGAACCTGGGAAGCTCCCACAGCTCCATGACAACTGGATAGGCCAGCCATGGCGACCATCTCCATGTGCACATTACAGTCATTTATAGACATGCGTTTGCACACTGCAGCAACAAACACTCACTGTGGCTCTCACCAACAGGAGATCAACAACCAGTGGGTAGAAGATGGGATGGGGGGAGAACATGACGAACAGGTCAGCCTTTTGCTTGATGAACTCAGTCGTTTATTGTTATTGATTATATTAGATGGAATTATTGTCCCAGTTTCTGTATGTTGTGCCACACACAAGTACTGCACACATACCTAATGCGTGGTGATTTCTACTGTTGCTTATCAAATGAATAAGTTATTTTCTCAGTGTACATAATCTGTGTGTAAGTAGTGTAAATCTCAGAGATCCAAAGTTCCGTAGGATATGTCTTTTAATGTTCTCCTTATTTAAATTTAAAAGAAAATCTTTCCTAGTTATAAAGTAGAAACAAAATACAAAGGAACAAACTTTCTTATGTATCAAGCAACTGAACCCAAAATAATTCAACTATGGACACCACCCTGCACAACACCACTCTTCTTACTCACATTTGCATGGGATATGTTTCTCTCCCACAGGGTTGCAGGTCTCACAATAGGAATGTAGCAAGAGGATTTCTGAAAGATTTGAAACAATGCACTTAGTAGCTCTTCAGTAATTCTCAAGTTATATTTCTATTCCTGAGATGATTTTTAGGTAGACTGAAAGCTAATTCATTCGAACTGGCTGTTCGTTCATTGAGTACTTGATATCATCCAGAACACTGTGCTAGGTGCTGCGGGAACAACAGTGGGGCCAGACAGACACAATCCCTACACTCAAGAGTCCAGAAGAAAACGCAGTCGCTAAAGAATCATACCAATAAATGCAAAATCTCAACTGTGACAAGTGTTATGAATGAGAGAAATAAAGTATTTTGAGAACCTTGTAATATATTAGGATGAAATAGATTTAAACATTTACATCCTTTGCCATGTGGCTTTGCCATGTGGCTTTGAAAAAAACCGATTGGGTTTTTTTGATTTCTTCCACATTTACATTCACTTGAGTAAATGAAGTATATTTCCTTGTCCCATTGATGTTGAGCTAGGCCCCATGACTTGCTTTAGCCAATGACATGTTCACACACATGACAAAAGCAGAGGCTTTAAATGTACATGCAGGGTTTGCCTTGGCCTCTTGTGTTTCTGTCTTAGCAAGAAAAAAAAAGAGAGGGAAAAAAAAAACAAAAACGTGCTCCAAGTAGTCACTGGTCCCAGAACAAGGAGACAAATGTAATAGACTAGACCCCAACCCACAGCCTTAAGCCAATCCCAGCTGAGCCCAGTGGAGCCATGGCCAACACACAAACCAGGGAACATAAATAAGAAACAAATGTTGCTTGTTGAAAGCAATTGATTTTGGAGTTGTTTGCTATGCAGAATTATCATAGCAGAAACCTGACTGATACAAATATACAATACCTACAATAGGTCCGTTTGGGGGTCAGAAAAGTCACCCCAAGGATGTGCCAATGGTACGGACTCTTGTAACTTTGATATTAAAATATCAAACCTCAATAAAATAATATCAGGATTTATTTTCATATGTCTGCTTTTCAATTTGATACTTTTTATTTGTTTGGCTAGTCACAATCTTCAGGGTCCTTGACCTTTTATTGTTTAATATTTGCTAAAATCGTGCCTCAGCCTTTTATTGACCTGCAGAGCCTGTTGTCATGAAGACAATATCCTGACATATCTATGACCAGGATACAAGCCTATGTCCAGACACCAGGAAAACAATTAGTCTACCGCATCTGTTCCTTGAGGATATTAGAGTCTAAGGCAGAAATAGGACCAGAGAATCACACAAATCAAGGCGAAATTTCAGTGACCCTAAATGTTACAAGAGAGAGACACATGGAGTACAGACATAAATGTGCAGTCAAGGAATATAGATGATGCAGATTCGGCTGATGGAAACAGAACCCGCAAAAGAGACAAAACTGGAAGAGACAGGGATGTCTCTGAGATCAAAGTATCAAAACTAAAGGAATGTGACAAGAGAAATAGAAGAAGTCTCCAGATGAAAGAATAAAGAAAGAAGATCAGAAGAGTGGGGAGCATAACAAGATCTCAGAGCCCTGACCCTGAGCAGTTCTGTAAGTAAGCCACATTGGTACTGCCTGACAGGTACATGGGGGGCACTGGGTCTCCCTTGCTTGTCTTCCCATGACACCAGGAAATGTGTCTTTTACTCAGTATCCCTCACACCAACTCCATGCCAGGCACATGGTAAGCATTGAATCAATAGTTTTAAAGAATGCAGGTGGACTTTCCGTGATCCCAAAAAGGAGTCACAGAGCATACGAACTGGAAGGAATACTACATCACCCACATTCTCATCAGATAGATGAGGAAACTGCTCAGTCCACACCAGCAATGTAGTGACCAGCCAGTGACCAAATTTCAGCATCTGGGTTCCGTGTTTAAGCCCATACATAATCATCTGTTCTGTTGTCAGCACGCAAATGGCCCTCAAAACCCGGTTGTCAAGTTTGATTAGGAAAGCAACTCTACATCTGTGGGAAAGGGAAGGGGTCTCACTTACAAAACAAGAATCACCAGGTGGAGAGTGAAGCCCAGCTCCATGATGTGTACCGCAGTTCTCCTCCTCAGTGGACTTCCTACCATGCACTCCAACCCTGTAGCTTCACATATCTGGTTGTCGTCTGAGTAGATAATTCTTGTCCAGGGCAATCAGCACCAAGCACTGAATGCTGTCCCAAGCCACTCTGCTATGACACATTTCCTATTTCAATGAAGATTTCTCAGTGCCACTGCCTGAGTTATGCAGGGTGTGCATAGCACTTTCCACATTATTCAGAGTGCAAAGCAAACAATACCTCCTAAGGTTGTTCAGTGCACCCTCTGAACACCTGTACACAACAATCCTGAGATGTTTGCTGTTCAAACAATAAGGCTTCATGATAGCCAATAGTCCAAGGAAATCATGTGCATTCTGACTGTTCCATTTTTATAGGAGATTCTTTCTGAAGGATAAAAGCACCAGTAAGCAGAAAGAAGAATCAGGGATTGGGTTTTTTTGATTTCTTAGAAAAGATTTATCTTGAACTTTTAAGCAAGCCTATAATGCAGGTAGAATTTCTTTGTAAACAAAAAAAAAAAAAAACTATTGTAATCAACAAGCAAAAAAAAAATGTCTTGAAAGAATAAAGGAGCTGGGATATTCATTGCCAGTCATTAACCTGATTTTCTAATGAATATGGCATTAGGCATTCATTAACAATCATTTGTGTTTATGTTGAACAGTGGATGTATAATGAAGGTTGGTAAATGAAAGCAAAATTAAACCAGGGAATTTTGGACACTTATAAAGCAATTAACTTGTTTGGCAGTAATTACACATTGAAAGCTAAATCAAGTGCATTTAGAAAGCCACAAGAGTCGCCACATAAACCAGAGGTGCTTTGCTCTAAAATAATAGAAAAACCTCTCTTTCTTTCAAAATGAAAGAGAAAGGCAAAAGTATGGTATAAATGACAAACGAGGCCCAGGTCTAATGAAAAGAAATACGGCTACAGCCCATATGTTAGCGAAGGGGCAAGTTACTGAAAAATAGGACAGCTCAGCTAATTAGAAGAAAGAAGGAAAGAAGAAAGAAAGAAAGAAAGAAAGAAAGAAAGAAAGAAAGAAAGAAAGAAAGAAAGAAAGAAAGAGAAAGAAAAAGAAGAAAGAAAGAAAAAGAAGAAAGAAGGAAGGAAGGAAGGAAGAAGGAAGGAAGGAAGGAAGAAGGAAGGAAGGAAGGAAGGAAGGAAGGAAGGAAGGAAGGAAGGAAGGAAGGAAGGAAGGAAGAAAACACTTTTGAGACAACAATGATGTGAAAACAGGTGGTATGTGCTAGAGAGTTCAAGTTCTCTGTGCACATGGGCATGCACATACATGCACGCACGCACACACACACACACACACACACACACACACACAGTCTACATACTTGAACTACCTCTTAGATGTGTGAAGATTGAAACCTGAATCCACAATCCGGTTTTTGGACAGCACTGCATCTCAGGAGTTACCAGGGCTCTGTCACTGACAATTTTGCAACTTGATTCCCCTTAGTATGTGACTATAGCCCTTTATTCAATTTAACACTTGGCATTAAAGGTCAGTCATTAAATGCATCCAGGGGAAAGAGCAGAATGAGGTGTGATGAATGAAAACCCCAGGGAAGTATCAGTACTGAACTATGAGGAAGCAAAGGAAGTGAACTTGAGATTCCATGTGGCCACAACACTCATAACCAGAAACTTTGCTCCAAAAACACATTCAAAATCCAAGAAAACTTTCAAGGTGAATTTTCTCAGAGTTTTCCAGCCCACCAGAGATAGCCAAGACATGCTACAGAGAGAAGTGTTGTTTGGTTTTTTGCTTATTTTTTTCTTTCCTCAGCTGGAAGAGCTAGTCTTCAGATAAGCCCAAAGGACAGAGCTTTCCAAACTGGAGGTTGAGCATCTTCCTCCAAAAGACCTGAAGATTCATGAGCCCTTCCCATATGGCAAATACCTTCACAAATAGGGTTTGTGGGTGCTTGAGGGTTAGTAACCAAAAGAAAGGTTCCCAGGGGGATCTATAAAGGGCAGCTGGCTTTGTGGAAACATTTGCAAAGTGCTTGGGTATCAACTATGCTAAAAGCAAATACTTGCTTTGCCTTGGGATTGGAACAGAAAATGGAAACCAGGAGAGAGCTCTGAAATCCTCACTTAGGTCATTTAACTGCTACCAAAAAAAAAAAAAAAATGTGTTTGTCATTATGGGGGGTGTGTGTCTCTTTATAGAAATATGGCATGGAGCACTGGGCATTATATGAAAACAATGAATTGTGGACCACCACATCAAAAAACTAATGATGTATTGTATGGTGACTAACATAATAAAATTTAAAAAAATTAAAATTAAAAAAATCAAAAAATTAAAAAAAGAAATATGGTCTTTCTTTCAAAAGATAAATATGGTCTTTCTTTCAAAAGATAAACATTTTTATTTCCAAGCAGAGGATCAAGACATTAAGTTAAAAAACTCATTTCTCACTTATTTGAAACCATTTTGAATATTTAGATTGTCTGCCTTGTTCTAATCTAATATGGAGCATTTTCCTTGAGGTTTTCTTGGTCACAAAATGACTTCCTGGTTTTGACCAAGACTTTATCGCTGTATCAGTGTAGTATGAACTCTGCAACAATCCTAATACCTTTTCCTGTGTCTTCATAGACAAATACATTTATATAAAGGAAATTCAAGGAATACACTCTTTTTTTTTAAAGATTTTATTTATTTATTTCACAGAGAGAGACAAAGCAAAAGAGGGAACACAAGCAAGGGGAGTGGGAGAGGGAGAAGCAGGCTTCCCGCTGAACAGGGAGCCTGATGCCAGGTTCGATCCCAGGACCCTGGGATCATGACCTGAGCTGAAGGCAGACGCTTAACAACTGAGCCACCCAGGTGCCCCAGAAATACACTATTCTTGAAGGTACCTGCTACGAATCCGGGACTTCTTACATTTGATTGCACATTCAAATCACTTGGGAAGCTAGTTAAAATGCAGATCCTGACTC